TTGCCAAATCTTTTATGCAAGTTCGCTCACCGTGGCAACCACTGAAGAAAGAATCAGCCGAAAGAAACTTGGACAATTAGACTCTCTCAGACTTAGACAATTTCCTAAATTAAATGTCAAAACACAAATCTTTGCTAAGCATTAAAACCTTAGTGTGCTGTCAGCTGTCTGACACCTCATGGCAGCCACACTGCAGCAAAGATTAATGTTAACAAAATTGATTTTTGATTTTTCAAGTTCATCGTCAAGTCAAAATTTGTCAACGATGCATCTAAAAATAGATGTACCTCCCATCTCCATCATTTCTGTATTTTCTCAGTAAAGACCAGCTGTACATGCTGTAATTGTCTGAAAATGTTGAATGACTCCAGTTGAAGCATGTTTGTTAGTTTGATGGTGTGTGTAAAGTGTTTTCTTGTATTTCTGGTGCATTTGCCTCTTAAGCGCTCAGCTTTCATCTGGCCCAGTCTCCACTCTGTCACAGGAAGCTGGGCTTCAGGTGTGCAGACGGACAGAGGAGTCCAGATTCAGCTGGTTTGTGTTCGCTCCCGTTACTCTTCTTACTTTATGTCCGTATTGACAGGCTCGCCTCCATCAGGAAGTCAGAGCAGTAAACCCAGAGCGACATCAGCTGTCCTCAGCTGACACTGACCATATCCTCGTTCCTCCCGCAGCTCTCGGTGAATAACTTTGTCTGTTCCTCCACAAAATACACTCTCAATCAGGGCAGCAGGTAACCTCCCCCCCCCCCCCCCGGTGGAATCAGAAACATTAAAATTTGTTGTAAAGGTCAACCGAAGCCCATAAACATCCGGTGATGTCAGCGGCAGTTTCTATGGCAGCCAGCTCGGACAGTTCTGCATTGGAGCAAGGCTGAATTATTAGCATAGGCTTGTGTGTGTGTGTGTGTGTGTGTGTGTGTGTGGTCAAACACGTCCTGGTGATCTGTTGGTTCAGCATCTCATTTTGTATCTAGTCAGACTAGTGTTTCTCTCTAACCGTTCCTCAAATCATTTTTCTTGTTTCAACTTGCTACCTCCTTAATAAGAAACTGGTTTCCCAGCATTTTTATTTTACTCTAAGCACCCTCGGCTTGTTCACAGACAAATCGGTTATAAACAAAAGCCTCGAAAGGGCTGGATCGACTTAAATGGATCGGTTGAGGTGAGCGTCTGAACTCAACACTTGTGTGCAGCATTAATGTTTTCCTGGAAAATGACTCAGTGCAAGAGTGACAAAACAAAAGCAGACAAGGATGCTGAACAGGAGCAAGACAGCCACTCAGCTTGTGCAACGTCAGCCTCGCTCACCAGGGCAGCGGAGCCTCAGTGCTGTCATCAGATTTGTTGAATCAACGCAGCAGCAGCAGCTCAGATCAGACGGAGCTTGGTGGAGCCTGTGATCTGCAGAGAATGACTCAGAGAGACGTAGTTGTGCAGGACCCTGGCTCGGACCTAATGGCGTGCAGCGATGATCAGAAGTCTTCCTCTGCCTGCTTGTGGGAATATTTTGTTTTTGTGTTTTAGTCATGGATTGGATGCAGTGGAGCTTTGTACCACCAGCGGCAGGAAACGCCTGGCCCTCTGTGCCACAGGAGTTCAATGAAACGCTGGCTCTCAGCACGGCTCTGGGTTACAGCCTGCTAACCTGTGAGACGTGCATGCTGAATTACTGTTTTGATTCTGTGAGTATTCAGCAGGCCTGTATAGGCCTGATCTCCATCCAGCCTGTCCCTCGTTTGAAGGAAATCCTGCCAGATCATGTTGCTTTAAAGAGCTTAAATTTTGCTTTAACCTAAAAAAATACTTTATTGTTAGTGTTTTAATCAGTTTATAAGCATAGTGTCTTGGTTTTGTTGGCCATGAACCTGATTAAAGGCTTGTGCTCTTGAATCCTGAGTTTGAATCCTGTATCGGAGTCTTAGATTTCTCCAGAATGCTCTCTCTTTCTCCATCTCATCCAAACATTCATGGCAGATTGATCCTGCAAATACATAATTTGTCACATTATTTTACTGCCTGTCTTCATGACATATCTGCTCAAAGCCTGTCATGATTAATTTGTTTTTGTTGCACAAATGTTGTGAAGAGAAGTAAAACATTGAATTAAACACAAACAAATAAACCCCACAAAATTAGTTGAAAACAACGGTCTAGCAATTCTGGAAGGAATCCATATCACCCTCCGCCTTTCTTGCCCAAGTTTTAGACTAAGGTCGTCTTGTGTTGGAAAATGATGTTGCTGTTTTGGTCAAACCTTAATAAAGTTATGTGCAATCTCACATGACATTGCAAAATAGTATTTATTATGAACGACACTGATACTTCCACATTAAATTTTGGCTTCATTCCTGTAAAGTTGACCGAGTTGTTGCCATTTTTGTGTTTGCTAATGTCTGACTTTGGTGGCCACTGTGAACTGGATTGACTCCACAGGTTAATCAGTTATAGATGTGCACCCAATGATTATTTCTTGAAAGTTTCATTAAAGGTTGTTGAGTAGTTCACACAGGGACGTCACAAAATATTTTGGTAAGACACAAAAACAGGTGTATAAGCAGCCACTCTTGTAATATGTAGAATAATTTTTAGACTTGAGCTCGACTTGTTAGTGTTAAAGGTCCAATCAATAGTGTCAGATTTTTTTTTTTATACACAGAATAATAAAAAAAGTGTTAGTGTTTTATTTTGGCTTTTCATCTAGTGGCTTGAGGTTGGCAAGTTTCAAATGTGCAAGTAACCATGGTGATTTTGTAGGAAATGTTTTTGTATAGGTATATTAAAATTTAAACATGATGGGGAGTGGTGCCACAGAGGTTAGAGAAGGTGGGCCTGTGATCAGAAGATCGCTGGTTCAACTCCCTGTACCAGCAACATCAAAAATTGGGTGAGATAGGTGAAGCACCCACATCTGTCTTCACCCTCATTTGCCCCACTTTGGGCCCTTGAGCAAGGCCCTTAACCCCCACCATCTGCACCGCCGGGCACCGCTGATGGCAGCTCTGCTCCACACAGAGGCTGTGATAGCTCGGTGATCTGTGGTTGAGTCAGGAAGGGCATCCAGCATTAAAAAATTGTCCAAGTCTTCATGTGACTTAGTTCGCTGTGGCGACCCCTGACGAAGGGAGCAGCTGAAAGAAAAATTAAATTAAAAAAATTTAAATTTAAAACATGATCATGTATTTTTTCATTGAATTCTAGAATTGCGCCGCTCAAGGTGGCTGCATGTTGGAGCAGCTCTGTTACTTTCATTCTGAGATTTTGCTTTTGGAAACTTTAATTCCTCTTTTTCTGGATGTAAGTCACATTTTTTGGATGATTGTTTCCTCTGGTATCAGATGCTGTGCAGCTGGAAGGATTTTTACTGAAACTTTTTTAGTTTTGGACATTTGTTATGATGCGTAACCATGGCAACAAGGCAGTTTTCTACAACCAACAGCAGCTGATTAACATCTCAAAAGCTCAAATAATATCTCAACTACAGCCCCAAATCTCAAGTGAGTTGAAAAGGATGTTCTGTGGATGCATTCTCATCTACCTGCCAGCTGTACTCGAGTGCCTGAACACTGAGATCCTGGAACTAGCAGGAAACATGGTTCATGACAGCAGAAGGACAGGATCGTCCCTCGGCACCTACAGCTGGCTGTCCGCAGCTACAAGGAGCTCGGCAGACTGCTGGGAGGAGTGGCCATCGCTCTGGGAGGAGTTCTGCCCAGCATTTGGGTGGTCCTACAGCCCGAGGGGAACTGAGAGGTCAGCCGAGTCTGGGTGGACGGATCGGACGGCATCTGAAGTCACTTTCTTAGGATCCACTGTGGGATGGACCTTTACAAGAGATCCTTCCTGTCTACAGCCATCAGCATCTATAACATCTCTTAATGAAATGAGGATAATGAGTTACAACAACAAAGAATTTCCCTCTGGGATTAATAAAGTATTTTTTAATTTGAATTGAATTTGAATGGATTTTTTTTGTACTTGTGGGATTTAAATAATTTTAACCCTCAGAAAGTGTAATGGGGAAAATTCATCCACTCATTTATTTTTGTCTGTTTTTATTTTTATTTAGTACTGTAAATAAACGTGATTTTTTTTTTCTTCTGACAAAGCCCTAAAAGTCCTAACATTTTCAAAAAATTTTCAGAATATTTTCAAATGTTCTCGTAACCTCACAGTAACTTTACTACCTCAAGTGTTCTTTAGGAGGACAATAACCATAGGTTCCTTCTTTAGATGCAAGTTTTGATCCCATAATTATTGTATCATAAAATAATGCATTAATTACAGTAATTCTATTTTTTCTCTCTATACTTTAGATTTTTATATTGGCTCATTCATGCTTTGCTTTTTATGACTGAGCACCTCTGTAAATTTTACAGAGACGGACTTCAACTTGTTCTGGAGGAGATGCGTATCTCCCGGCTGCTCGTTGCTCCGGAGTTCTGCCCCTCATCTCGTCCAACAAAACTGTTTTCGTTTGGATGCCTCATTATTTTCAAATATCGCCATAGAATAAATATTTTGTCAATAATATAAAAAAAAAAATCTACGGTAAATGTGGAGTTTTTATTTTTATTTTCTTTCTTTATTTTTTCAACTAAAAGCCCTGAAAGAGTTAAAATGGTAAAGTCAAATTTATATATAAAATATATATCAAATTTGATATATATATTTTTTTTTTTTTTTCTGGCTGAAATAGGTTTAAAGGATTGGCAAGTTTATTGTGGATTTAAAAACAAACAGCATTTTAAGTATTTATGTGAAGTGGTTGTTTTTTTATTTAATTTATTTTTCTCCTATTAATGCTATCTAGCAGAAAGTTGAAGAACCTTCTGAAAAATCACTCGGTCTTAAAATGTCACAGCTTTTCACTAAAGGTTTTGAGGCAAAAATACCGTCAAGGTTTTCACAACCTTCACTTGTTTATTCTTCCTGATGTTGTGATGTGCATCAGTAAAATTCTGGCATCTCTGACCCGGACCTTGCGCTGTGTTTTCACAGGAATCCGCCAAGGTTTCAGACCTCAACCCCAATGCGAAAGCATGGGCCAACCACATGTTTAGCCTGGACCCCAGCGGGACTGCTGACACCACAACTGCTGCCCTGCAGCCATGGAAGGACGGCTGCGATAGTTCAGACGACCCGGGCCCAGAAGGTCAGCCACCTGTTTGAGAGACGCAACATTTTTAATCTTCCAAACTTAGAACCACTTCTTTTGGTCGTTGTAGCACTTTAATTAAAGTGTACGCTTGATGAAAATGTGATGAGTTAGACGTAAAACTGCAGCAGCTGGTTTGCTTTTACTTTGTCAGAGAGCAAATAATTCCAGTTGGTTCATTTAGGGCTTGTGTTTTGATATTCTAGATTATATTTAGTGTTTTTAATGTTTGGCCCCTTCATATACCAATTAATTGGATATATGTAATTGTAATTCACAACATCCAGACAAAGTTTGCAAGGCTAAAACAAACAACCTTGTTCTTTTCTGATACTGATCAGTATAAAATTTGTGATATTTGTGATTTCAGTCAAGCCACAGAGAGGATTTAAATAGTAAACGGTGGCAGCCATTTTATCCCCATCGATATGTGTATAAGTCAGTACTGCATCACAAAAACAAAATCAAGTGTGTACAAGTTGAAGTTTACATTTAGTAAAGTAACTTTTTCTTTGTTTTGGAGTAACATAAAAGTGCATCGGCTATTAATTGTTTCACTAAGGTGAACTACGAATAAAACACTTTGGCAGCTACTGATCTACCTATCTTTAAGAATGCTGGTTAATAGTAAAGTTTACTGTAACTTCCACTCATGACTGGCAAAATAAAGTAACCCAGTAAAGGAAAAACTTGACAAATGTAAAAAAATCTATCTTTCGAGATTCAGTTTATGACGCATCAGGACATTCTTTGTCCAATCTGATGAACTTTAATCCATTTTTATGAGTTTTTCTATAAACCACTCCTGATCTTTGAATGGCATTGACAAAAGATTATTGTTATCCTTACAGTCATAATTTGGAGATTCTTCAAGCTTGAAAGAAATGTTGCACTCTGATTTGAAGCGGTTTTCTTATCAAAGATATCAAGTGGCGGGGGTGGTTCCCCCCAAAAGGAGGTGGGAACATAGGAGTAAGGTAAACAAAATAAACGCAACACTTGTTTTTGCTCCCATTTTTCACGGTGGCTCAGTTGGTAGAGCTGTTGCCTCTCAGCGAGAAGGTTGCAGGATCGAATCCCGGCCGATAGCCTTCTCTGAGTGGAGTTTGCATGTTCTCTCTGTGCATGGGTGGGTTTTCTCTGTGTACTCTTGATTTCCTCCCACAGACCAGAAACATGCATGTTGGACTGACAGCCAACTCTAATTTGTCTCTAGATGTGAGTGAGAGAGTGAATGATTGTTTGTCTTGTTTGTTTCTGTGTTCCTGTGATGGACTGGAGACCTGTCCATGTCCTACGCCTCTTGCTGCTGAATATGAGCACCAGTGACCCCCCCACCCCCACCCCGCGTTCCAAAAAAAAATAAGCTAGTAAAGATGATGTATGTATGAACTAAGACATCTAAGACTTTTTCTATGTACATAACAGGCCTTATTCTCTGCATACCAGTCGCATGCTTCTTCAAAACCTGCACCATCCGTGGCATTGTGCTGTGTGATAAAACTGCACATTTTAGAGTGGCCTTTTATTGTGGTCAGCCTAATGCACACCTGTGCAACAATCAGTCTCTAATCAGCATCTTGATATGCCACACCTGTGCAATCTCTGCAAAGGAGAAATGCTCACTAACACAGATTTACACAAATTTGTGAACAATATTTGAGCGATAGTGGCTGATTGTGTACATAGAAGTTGGTAGACCTTTGAGTTCAGCTTGTAAAATGGGAGCAAAGGTTAAAGTGTTGTGCTTATATTTTTGTTCTGTATACCTGGATGTGTTACTGCACCCTAACATTGTAATTGGTAAATACAATTGACACTCGCATGATTAAAACGTCTTAAAAAGAAGCACAAAAGGCCAAATTTTCTGCTTGGGATAAAAAACCGTGCAGCTCAACACAAGAACAAATGTTTCAAGTAAATCCCTTGAAGCTTTTGTTGTTGTTGTAAAGCATTAGAGAGCTGTATTGTCTCTACAAGATGAACACTGACAAGAGTCCACTTCTCATTTAAAGTTGATGGTTCAGGTGGAGTTGAAACATTAAAATGGGTCAAACACCAGAATGCCGATTCACCCACAGCACCGGTTATTATTTTCTGTCCACTTCACTCAACTCTTTGTCACACTGGTTCTGTGAGAACGCCTCTTTAAGCATTCGTGTCTAATTTTATACGATGCATGAATATTCCAGCCACTGTCACCGTTCCCTCGACACGAACGTTTGGACTCGTTTAATTCAGTGTGTGCAGACGAGCGCAGCCACTGCAGAGGCAACAGGTGTAGAAACAGAAACTATTGATTAGCCAGCTTTGACTCTGATTAACATCTTGGCCTCCTTCATTTTTTATGCTCACCAGGATATTCATGGAAAATTAATCACACAACTAACTCCATATATTTGAACCATTAATAAAATGTAGTGGTCTCTGATTCATTACACTTATTGTAAGTTAATCTCAAAGGTAGACAATGTTGTCTTTTTTCTTTTTTTTAACACAATTATATACAAGTATATGCATTTGTATTTTATTGGAACCTCAACATCAGTCCCTAATGGCTGTGTTTACTGTGAAAAGTAGTTAAAAGTATGAAAGAAACTTCTCTGAAGTCTTAAAAAAATATGTGAATTAGATTTTTTTTTAATTCTTTCTTCATTTATTTGGATAAATAAAGCCAGAAAACAGCTTTTTTTTTAAATTATTTTATTATTATTATTATTATTATTTATAAACAACAACAATAAAACAACATTCTTTTTTGTTTTTGCATTTTTGTGTTTTATATGACCCCTTGTTTGCAGACGAGGCTCAGGCTGTCTGCGTCATAAAGCCTCAAATATTGACTCAGTGTTTACGTGACCTTTTTGGAGACGTATATAAGTAATTTTCTCTAAAGAAACTGCAGTTTTTAGAGCAAATGTCTGGATGTATAAAAGCTTGGCCTTGGATGTGTGAACTGTGTTGCAGAGAAGGTAATGGCAGCTTGACTGCAAGCTTTACAAATGTTGTAGGTGGCACTCTAATGTCAGCTTTATTTAGTGTTCGTGAACAGCGCGGCTGTTTTTACGATGGTGACTCCTGTTCTGTTTGTAGTAATTTCAAACAAAGCTGAAAAAAGAAATAAGGCCCCTCATGTGTGTTTGAGAAAATGGCTACATGATCATTTTTAATTGATTTATTAATAAAAAAATAGTACTGTTATTCTATCCTGTAGCATTTAGCTACTGTGATAAATATATATATATATATATATATTTAAAATATTGTGAAATGCTAATTAAATGGAAAATCTGTCTACCGTAGTTTTTTTTAAACATGTTTTCTTGAGGCACTTTTTTTTTTTTACCTGAATCATGAATTCATAATAATTAAATCATTTTTTCCCCAACATTACCAGATTTGTCAGTTTTTTAATAAGTTACAGCACTCGGGTATGGGTTTAGTTTGCTGTGCAGCAACTAGAGAAATTTATTATTTTCTTCACCTTAAAAAGTTTATTTTTTACATAGTTTTCCTTAATTTTAAGTGGTTATCATCGACTTTGAAAACATTTCAAGTGTTAGACAAATCGCTACTAAAATATTATTTTACAAATATAGAAATCATCTCTTAGACCAGATCAGTTAAATGTCCTTAGTTTTTTATTTTCTTCTGTTTCATATTGCTAGATCTTTACTAGATTAAAGATTGATAATCCTCATCTTGTTGCAGTTAATGATTATTCTAACCTCCCTTTGTTTTCTGTGACAGGCTTTGAAGCCAGTGAGGACAAAGCTTACAAGGAGCCTCTGCTAGCTGACCCAGATGAACCTCCACCAGAACCAGTAATGCTGGCCGAGCCGTGCCCCATTGCCTCCGTCACACTGGAGTGCTCCGAGCCCGCCTACACAGAATACCCCGAGCCTGGGCAGCCGGGGTGCACAGGTGGGCTGGTTAGTGACTGGTTGTTTGGTCAGGAGAGGGTCAGAGTGTTTTCAGAGGTTAGACATTACATGAGTGATACGATGTTGAGTTAAACACCTGTAATCAGACAGACAGGTTATTCAGTGATGGAGACCCGAGGGGTCGTACGTTGGTCTCATGCTCTCTAACTCTGTTGTAAGTGTAAGGTCACAAGGAATGTGTACTTTTCTGTGTTTTTCTGTAGTTCTCCCCCCCCCCCCCCCCCATGTTAAATATTCTTTGAACTATTGTTTTTCATTTGTATGTTTTGCTCCAGATTTCATAATAAAGCTGCTTTTCCTTAACAGGCAGTGATTCTCAGCCTGACAACACCCAGGAGGGCTTGAGGGAGCACCTGAAAAAGACCCTCGAGTTCTGTCTGTCCCGGTGAGCTTATTTATTTATTTATTCAAATAAACAAATAAAAAAGTTAAAAATAGGCGAGTGGGTTTGCCTAATGAATACTTTTGATGAAAAAGCGTTCTAGTTAAAACAAACAAACAAAATATATAAAGACTGAGCTGTGTAAAGATGTAGTGTGAGAAGATATTTACAATTATTAGCACCTTTTCTAGATAATATTATTAAAAAGTTAGATTTTTTTTTTAGACTCAAACCAGCCTCAACAGCTGAAAGAGAATCGGCTATTAGAGAAATAGACGAAAAGCTTTCATCTTTATTTGATGCATTTGACTTTTAATGGAGAGAAGCTGTTATCGTGGACTTCAAGAAGAAAAATGGCTGCTCGCAGTAATTATTAAAGAAGTCCAGAGGTGGAGAAAAGAGGTGTTTTGTGAGTGATTGTAAAATCATGTCTCCGGTTTCTCATCTTTATAAAACTGTAGTTTCTGTTTGCAATCAGACCCAAAATGCAGCTTTTCTGTGAAGTGGCATCATAGCTGTTGTTAAGCCTCGAGGGTCGGCGGTTGTTCGTGTGACGTCAGCGTTTTCAGCTGCTTGTGTCCTCGAGGGACTGCATCTGCTCACAGCTGAAATGTGACAGCTGGCGGCCCGCACGTGTGAACAGAAAACAAATGTTTCTGCTCTCTTCTGCATGCGCTGCTCCGTTTACTTCGTTTGGTCAATCCTCAGTGTGCAGATCTGTTTCGAACAAAATAAAAACGTAGTTAAAATTTTAACTAAAGCAACACGCAGCTTTTATTTTTAGAACTTTGAAGGACTAGAACTATGAAGAGATGATACAAAGAATTGGTTGTGATCAGTCAGTCTGAAAATATCATGCTAGTTTACTCTTGGTGACCCCTGAAGAAGGGAGCAGCCAAAATAAACTTATTTACCGGTACCTTTTACTCTACACTTCTGTGGCAGAGAAAATGGAAGATCAAGACCACACACACACAAAACCTACATCGTTTAACACATTCCAGTAGTTTACTGTGAGAAGATCTGAACTGCAGTGAGTATTCAGCCTGCACTGGCAGGCCACAAAACACAGACCCTGTAGATGAGTAAAGGAGTAAATGAGTCCTCGAGGCTCAATGGGATTTACCTGTCTAAATAAAGATTGAATAAAAAAAACCAGGGCTGCACCAGTTGTTGATCAGATGCTCTACGAGATGTTACATGAAGCAACTGAAGCCAGGCAAACCTGCAGTACATTACTTCACTTAGTGAAAACATTTAGGCTCAGTGAAGCCGTCAAATGTGCAACAAGTGAAGTCAGAGAGCTGCGAGAGCTGTGGCACAAAGACGGCAGTTAAAATCACAATTCTGTTACCCTGCCAGGGTTTATGAAGTTGTTCAGGTGGTTAAATGTTGCAGAAGTCCAGTCTTAAAATTTAAATAGGAAAAGTCGTCTTGACGCTGCGCTCAAATTCAATTTGAATAAGTTTTCCTTAGACTTTCATCTAAAACTGTTTGTTAAAAAATAAATGTGTGTCAGCAGTTTCAAAAGATTGGGAAAACAAATTTGATCACTTTATTTATTGTTTTTGTGGCTCTGAGTGTTCTTGAATGTTTGAAAAATTTGAGGGAACTCTAATAAAAAAAGTGCCGTCTTTGAGGAGAACACACGTCACGGGAGAAGATCATAATTTTTGTTTGGACTTCTATATTGGTCCGTTTCATTTTTGCAGCACCACGGCTCAGTGGTTAGCACTGTTGCCTCACAGCAAGAAGGTCCTGGGTTCAATCCCCGGTTGGACGTGGGGTCTTTCTGTGTGGAGTTTGCATGTTTTTCTCGTGCTTGCGTGGGTTTTCTCCTGGTACTCCGGTTTCCTCCCCCACACCAAGAACATGCACGTTAGTCTGCCTTCAGGCCCAGACCTTCCTTGCAAAAGATCTGTGATCTCAGTGGGATTTATCTGGTTAAATACAGGTTAATAAATAAATATATTGGTCCATTTCGTAGTTCATAGGACGTTTTTCTTTGTGTGCTCGGAAACGTAACAAACCACGTCTTTGTTTTGTCAGGGAGAACCTGGCCAGTGACATGTACCTCATCTCCCAGATGGACAGCGACCAGTATGTGCCAATCGTGACAGTGGCCAACCTGGATCACGTCAAAAAGCTCAGCACTGACGTGGATCTGATTGTGGACATTCTTCGATGTGAGCGAAACAGTTTCGTCTTTCAGCTTTTCTCATTTTACTCACTGTTTTAACCACCACCTAAAATATTTGGGGTTAAAACTGAACAAGCTCATCAGGCACAATAATTCCTTGAAGCAGGAAGCGGTTGAGGTAAATTTTCCAGAAGAGCTTGTTGAAGTGCGGTGTCCCACCTGCTTGCCTTTTGATTTGTACACATTTAATTTACTGCTGCGTTTAATTCCACCTGACTCGAAGGCATGCTTTCATTATCGGGCTCGGTGCTCTGTTCACATCCAGGATCTTGTAGTTTAAATTGCACGGGTTAATGGAGATGGAAAAAGACAACTTCCAGGTGCTGGTGTTTATTAAACCGTATAAATAAATAAATACCAGCTATGAGTTACATTAGTTCTTTGAATCTTCCCATTTTGACTAGATTTTAAATATTTGAAAATCACTTAAAGTATCAAAAGTAACACAAACGACGTAGCTGCTTCGCAGAGGAGCTAAAGGTCCCAAACGTCTCTTCTGTGGACGTCGCCATTGTTGGACATTTTTCAGTCACTTCAGCTGTTTCCATAGTAATTGGCAGCTGTTCACAAATTTACTAACATTTTTAATTTATTTAAAGACACAATCATTATTTATATGTCGGACAAATTGTGCAGATTTTGTTTACGACCATATGAATTATTTTTACCGGTTTTCATGACTTTGCATTGAGTTTGTAATTACCGGTACCGAAGTAATTGTTTTGCTTCTTTCAGTAGCTGCTAATGTCTGAAACTCGTTTCTTGCGACTTCCTCCAGCTTTGCCTTTGGTCCAAGTGGATGAGAAGGGGGAGAAGGTGCGACCCAATCAGAACCGATGTATCGTGATCCTCCGAGAGGTTCCAGAGAGCACACCCATAGAGGTCGGTGGCAGCACACCATGTGACGACTGTAGACACGGAACAATCCTGAACCGTTTTCCTCTCGTTATAAACAAACAAGAACTAGGTGTTCTCTTGTTCTGTGGTTCTGCTCCACACCCAGAACATAAACTGATCTCTTTATGGTTCGGTTTCATGGTCCACATTTATCCATACCATTACCTACACTTTGGCTTCCCACATGCTTAATTTGCCTTTTGAACAGTTCACCAGAACAAACCAGACAAATTCACAAGTTCTGTTAAAACGTTTTGTCACTGCAACACTAACTAAAGTCCTGCTGACAGGGCTATTCAACTGGCGGCCCAGGAGCTAAATCAGGCCCACGGATGAGCTCAGTTCTGCCCACCAGTAGGTTCATTTTTAAATAAAACTTCATTTGAACCATAAAACAAACTTACTTAATGACAATAACTGCTGGATGTCTGGCCCCTGAGCTCTTGACTTTCAGTAACGGTGGGCCCCTGAGCAATTTAGTATTTTTTATTTTTTTTTTTGAGCAATTTAGTTGAAAAGCCCTGTGCTAGAACATTTCTGTATGGTTGACTCTACGGAAGCATAATATCGGATGTTTGGCCGATATGTTAAAACTTATTTGGCCGATAACTGATGTAGATATTTTTAATATACGTTCCTTTGTCAGAACATCGCCCTCTTATTTAGGCTTATTTGCAACAAAAATTGTGCAACAGCTGTCAGAGCTGGTGACATATATTCAGTAACAGACATATGCATAGCATATTAACTTATATTAAATGAAAAGTGTTAAATGTTATTTATTAGCATTAGTCACCTGCGATGCTGTCTCACTTGTGGAGGCTTGTTCCAGGTTCCTATAGCTGCAGTGCAGGATCCTCTGCTCTCCTGTGCATGAAGGACAACCTTTTTAAGTTCAAAGTTTTTGTCTATCCATTGTGCCGTAAGACCAATCATGCTAACAGGGCTAACACTTGATGTCCAGATGTCTGTGGTAAAACTCACCCAAGTGCTATCGGCTGTTAGCTTCTCAATGACGTCGGAAATGACGGCACGATGTAGCGAGACTCATCGCAGTCCAAAAATCTTCTGAATCCAATATCCTAAACAAAAAAAAATAAATAAAACTTCCACACTGCCGACATTTTGACTTCTTCCTCTCCGCCATGATCAGATCAGGTAGGTGCACGTGGCGTCATCACGTTGTGCACCACAGTGTGGCGCTGCAGGCGTCCTTGTCACTGGGTTGTCGTACAAAAACAGTGTATTTTATACTGGTGAGTTATTTTGATGGAATGGCTGATGTCCGATATTTAACTTTAACGCTAATATTGGCCGATACCATCGTGCATCTCTAGTTGACTCAGAGCTGAAGTGTGTGGGAGCTGCACATTTATAAATTTTAACCATATAACATGTTTACAGAAAGTTATGGTGACATCCATTAATGTTACTTTAACTAGAGGGCCAACCTTTACACAATTTTTTATTTTTAATCCTACAGAGAATATAGAAATTACATTACAATAAAATGAGTAATTTAGGTATAATTAGATTTTTCCACAGTCTAAACTTTTTTTTTTTTTTTTTTTTTGTTCCTTCAAAATAAAGGGGCGGTCAACGACAGTTTTTCCTTCAGTTTATTAGTCTCATATTTACAATACAACCATAAGCATGTAGACAACTTTGTAGTTTTATTTTTAGATTTCCTGCTAAAGCACTTAATAAAAAACAAGACTCATAAATACTGAGGTTAATCACATGTGGTTCTTCTTATTAGTCAAGTTGTTTTGGGTTGCCAAGTTTTCACTTTTAATTAGCAGAATAATAAAAATGGTTAAAAGCAACAATTTTCTGTTGAATTTGTTGCGAGTTCAGTTTATTGTTGCACAAACTACACCTTAGATGTAAATTTAGATTCAACGTCAAAGAACCTTCAGGAATTTTAAATGTGGAACATTTTAGTCATATTTTGAGTTTAACAATTTTAATAAATGGAGCCAGTTTTTACTAGTTTTACTTCCATTTTGATGTCTCGTAATGTATTTATTCATTTTTTAGAAAAGCTTGCAGTGCCTCGCACACGAAAACGACGTTTTGTTTTGCAGGAAGTTGAAGCCCTGTTCAAAGGAGACAACTTACCCAAGTTTATCAACTGTGAATTCGCCTACAACGACAACTGGTTCATCACCTTTGAATCAGAAGCAGACGCACAGCAGGTAAGACCTTCGTTAAACAAGAACATTTAACTTCAATTACTCTGAAGTGGTTTCTTTCCACCACGCAGGTATATTTGGAGACTTATCTTGAACTTGTTTCAAATCGGAGTTCTCTAAAGCTGATTAGTTTTACTTTTGTTTTTCTAAAGGCATATCAGTATCTCCGAGAGGAAGTGAAGACTTTCCAAGGGAAACCAATAAAGGTAAATAGTATAAAACATATTTAAGTCTCTGGTTTTATTTAGTTTTTTTTTAGAAAAAGCAATGTATTAATAGAAACATACCAAAACTTAATATATTACTTATATTTTTGGTTTGAAGTTCACCTTCCACCTAATTGTTGCTTTGCTTAATTTTTATATTTTTTAATTTTAGTATTTTTTACAATTTTACTTGTCTGCTCCTCTGTTGTTGTTGAGGACCATGTTGGATCTTGTTTTGTTGCCATGTTTTCAAAAATTGATTCTGAAGCCATCGCTCGCGTTTACCTATTTATTGTTTGTGAGTACTGTGAAAAGTATTTAATGTAGTTCAATGCAGCCAACTTTAAACTCCGTTTCATACGCACCAGTTTAATCACTTTTAATCCATTTGAATCAGTTAACTTCAGATTTTAATCCAAGTGAACACAGCTAATTTTAATCCTATTTGACCTTGATTTATACAGGTAACCTGACTGAGTCACGACGGCTCATTTTCAAGAGAAACCTGTTTTAGACCAAATATTTAAAAATAATTTTGTTTCAGTTCAGTCCAGTTTGAATAAATATTGACTTTTTAAATAAAACTTTGTGGCCTTTTTTTTTTTTTTTTTGATACTTGCACCAATTCACATTTTTCTGGACCATAAATGTGCTCGAGTGTTTCTCTACATTTTCCCGCTCTGCTCTCCCATCAGGCGAGGATCAAGGCGAAGGCAATCGCAATCAACACTTTCATGCCAAAGAACGGTTACCGGCCGGTGGAGGTGAACCTGTACGCTCAGCAGCGCTACACGTCGTACTACATCCCACAAGTTTACAGCCCCCAGCAGCAGTTCCCTTTGTACAGCCTGATCACGCCGCAGGCCTGGTCCACCACTCACAGCTTCATCGATCCAACGCTGGTGAGATCCAGGCTCTGCTCTCTCTGTTTCATGGTTTCAAACAAAGGTGGAAACAAGTGGAATGTTCAAAATCACAAATTTTATTCAAAATAAAAGCCTCAAGCGAAATGCAGAATTTTGGATCTGACGCATACTATGCTACTGTATTTTTTGGACTATAAGGTGCATTAAGCGAAACAAAACGGATAAGTCCAACTTTATTCAACTCATTCACAATAACTCAACATTGTTCAGTTGTGCCACATAAAATCCGTTTGAGGTCAGTAAGCACAACCAGAATTAACCTCCTAGGACCTGACATCCACATACGCGAGAGTTCGGGGTCTTAGGAGGTTAATACATAAGGTGCACTGTCGATTTTTGAGAAAATTAAAAGATTTTAAATGCATCTTATAGTCCAAAAAATATGGTAACACGGATGCAGAGATTAAAAAATAAAATGCAACATTGGCAGATATATTATTTTTTTGCAAATGTTTTCTCTTCTGTTGCCCCTGCGCTGAACAGCTTCACATCATCCCAACACATAAACATAAACATTTTACAATAATTTTGACCTGGATTTGTGTCATAATCAAAATGTTTTTAACTGTTAAATCACTTTAAACTGGTCTAATTTCATAGGATTTTGGTTTGTAGTTCTTTACGTTCTAATTTTGATTTTATTCAATTATTTTCTTTGAAAACTTTTCCTTCCAGGGATGAATGAAGTGTTTATTCTGTTTGAAAACGACAAGTTTGAATACACGTTTATTTTTAGATTTTCATAACTACAGCAATAACAAAGCAATCAAATAAAGTTATTAACAATTTAATTTGACTAAATATTTATATTGAGTCCAGTTTTGTTAAACTTAATAAATCCAGGTCAATAAATCTAGTAAATTTATGTTCAACACAGTATTATACCCACATTTCTATAATTTTTTTGATTTACTACATTATTTATTTTTTGAGTCCAAAAGAAGACTTTGGTTATTAATACGTTCCTGTCCTGCCGCTGATTCTCATCAGTGTTTAATGTAAAAGCATCCTGTTCTCTTTGACATTAAATATCTTTATTTTCCAGGTTCCTCCATTTCATAATAACCAGTTCATCAATGGATTTACTACATCCCATAGTTTCAAACCAGCAACATCGCCCCTCACAGTCAGACACTTCTCACCCAGAAACAGGTTTGTTTCTCAGCTGAAGGATCCCAGTAATCATAGAGTCTTATAATAAGTTTGTAAAATGAACTCGAGAACCGTCATGCATCATTTAGACTGCAGTTTATTCTTCAGTTCACACCAAATACTCTTTTCTCCTCAGAAATCACAGTAAGTCTCACCTGAGGCCGACCATCCCCACATCAGACCGCAGTACTGGGCTCCTGGAGAGTCCCAACCTCTTCCCCACCTTTCCCAGTGAGAGGCTCAACGGGGTTCGTAGCAGCCCGCAAGCACGAGTCCCCACCAGTCAGCCCAGAGCTAGATTACCCTCCACCACAACCTTCCCTCGCAGAGATGCCGTGGGCACCGGGCGCGTGACGGACCCCTCAACGCCTGACTACTTCCTGGGAGTTGGTCGAGGAAGGTACGGTGGCATTCGGTCTAGGTTTTAACACGATAACACTCCTTGTACCTGTTCTGTGTTACTGCATTTCCTAAAACAAAGAGAGTGAGAGAGTCTATGAAAGGGTGAATACATTTAGATTGGACCTGTCGCGATAAACGATAAATAAACACACGATAAATGAAAATTATCGACCTCATTTTCATTTATCGGCTTTATCGTTTCTTCGTGTCTCTCTTTCTACTGAAGACACTGGATGATGAAAGGTTCAACTCCGGTGCTCTTCACTGACCCCTCCCTTTCTCTTTTCTCTTTAAAATCTGTTTTAACGATCCAAAATCATGTTTTTGGATCGTTAAAAGCAGCTAAACTGAGAAGCTAAGCTACAAGCTAAGCTAACAGGCCGACCTCAGGAAAAAACCTCCGTCTTGTCAAAGCTCCACAATTCACGGTTGAAACTCGTGCCTTTGTGTAAAAAGTTGTTTTTCTCTGCAAAAGGAAGCCGAGAACTTGTTTGCTGATTTTTTTTTTAATTAAAAGCTTTGTGTGAAAAATGCTACGCTAAAGAGCTCAAACCACACCGAGCGTCCGCCATTTTGAGAACCAAAAAAAGGAAGGAGAGACAGCTCATGTCACGTCAAGAGGCCTCCCTCCCATTTTTCTTAAAGAGACACGCTGCTCGCTCCCTCACTATCCATCCTTTGGTTCAGTCTTATACTGCCTTCAGGTGGTCAAAAAAGGTACTGCATTCAAAACAATTTAACCAATATTTCTTCTTAAATTTGACAATAATTACTAATCACTGTCAAATTTCGAACAATATTATCGTTTATCGCAATAATTTCTCAAGACAGTTAATCACCCAGCAAAATTTGTTAATGTGACGAGCCTAGTTTAGATCTTAATTTTTTTACATTCTAATTCTCTAAAAGAATCACCGAGACTCATAAATGTACAGTAAGAGCTCGGAGCTGCTTACGGTCTACGGTGAAGTCACGGTTTACTACGGTAGGGATGTTTGTAAATTCAGATGTTCTTTGTCTTAAAGGAAAAATGTTTCTGCTTCTAGGAAAAAGAGGGATGAAAAGTTTACAGTAAGTACCGTTTTGGTCTTAAGTTCATCCATTTTGTATAAAGTGTGAAACGATCATCAGGATGACCTTCTTGTTAATGTCGTCATGATGATTGTTGTGAACTGCTGCCAGACGTCTCGTCTGCCATTTTGGATGACAGACGAGTTCGTTGCTTTTCTTTAATCATCTTCTCTGAGTTTAGTGCTGACTTTGTTTGTTGCTGCCACACAGAGAGCGACTCCTCAGTCGCCTCCTCCTCCCCCCAAACCCCCGTCTCCGAACTTTGAGCTCGGCCTCTCCAGCTTCCCTCCACTTCCAGGAGCAGCAGGCCAGCTCAAAACCGACGGCGTGTTTGAAAACCGACTGGCCAGCAAGGAGGCGGCCGGAACCATCAAGGAACTGGTAAACACTGACGGCAGCATCAAGTTATTTCATTTATTTCAAGCACGTACATTAATGAGTGTTCAGTGTATTTCCTGTCAGATACAGCGGTTTAAACCAAACTCTTGAGTTGGATTTTGTACCGTAGTTTATTATGAACCGGGTTGTGTTTCAGAATGCGAGCGCCGATTCCAGCAGCAGCGGAGCTCTGTCCCCAGTGGGTCCCAAAGAGCCTCTCCGGTCCTCCACCTCTCCACTGACCCCAAGCTTCCAACCCTCGCCAACAACCACGACCTCGGTCCCGGCTCCGAGCCCGGCTCCCAGCTCGCCTCACAGCCCCGCCCCCTCTGTCTCTGTGTAAGAGCAACACTGTGATTTTAACCTTCTGCAGTCTTTTCCAGGGAGATCAAATGTCTTTATCAGGTGTTTTGATGTCCTCTCTGTTGAATTTTCAGGGAGGTGAAGGCGACGGAGGTCAAGCCAAAGGAGGTGCAGCAATCTGTGGAGCGAGTTCCCGGCACTCTGTCCACCGCGAGCAAATCAGTGCAGGTCAATGGAGCTGCAACGGTACGTTCTGAACTGACCTCTCTGCTCCCCTCCTTCACCTCACACCTGCATTAATCTGTGTCGCCTCTCAGACCCCTCGATCACCAACAGATCGATGAGTCATGAGCTGAAGTGAGCAAATTAATTGAATCAGAATCCTTCGCCGTGTCATATTGATTTTTAACAACTCAATTTATCACGCTTCCTGCAAGTTGTATTACAGCCCACACAAATACTAGTCTCTCAAGGTTTGTTTTAAATCTAAACATTGTGCTTTACTTTGACCCAACACAAAGAAAACTTTTCTCCATTACGAGAAACTAATTTAGTTCTTGTGAAACTCAGTCAGCTTTAATTTTAACAAGAAAAATCACAGAGGTTTGAACCTGCAGGTAACTTTTGCAGGTCTAGATATATATACAGGTCCTTCTCAAAAAATTAGCATATTGTGATAAAGGTCATTATTTTCCATAATGTAATGATAAAAATTAAACTTTCATATATTTCAGATTCATTGCACACCAACTGAAATATTTCAGGTCTTTAATTGTTTTAATACAGATGATTATGGCATACAGCTCATGAAAATCCAAAATGCCTGTCCCAAAAAATTAGCATATCATGAAAAGGTTCTCTAAACAAGCTATTAACCTAACCATCTGAATCAACGACGTAACTCTAAACACCTGCAAAAGATTCCTGAGGCTTTTAAAAACTCCCAGCCTTGATCATTACTCAAAACCGCAATCATGGGTAAGACTGCCGACCTGACTGCTGTCCAGAAGGCCATCATTGACACCCTCAAGCAAGAGGGTAAGACACAGAAAGAAATTGCTGAACCAATAGGCTGTTCCCAGAGTGCTGTATCAAGGCACCTCAGTGGGAAGTCTGTGGGAAGGGAAAAGTGTGGCAGAAAACGCTGCACAACGAGAAGAGGTGACCGGACCCTGAGGAGGATTGTGGAGAAGGGCCGATTCCAGACCTTGGGGGACCTGCGGAAGCAGTGGACTGAGTCTGGAGTAGAAACATCCAGAGCCACTGTGCACAGGCGTGTGCAGGAAATGGGCTACAGGTGCCGCATTCCCCAGGTCAAGCCACTTTTGAACCAGAAACAGCGGCAGAAGCGCCTGACCTGGGCTACAGAGAAGCAGCACTGGACTGTTGCTCAGTGGTCCAAAGTACTTTTTTCGGATGAAAGCAAATTTTGCATGTCATTCGGAAATCAAGGTGCCAGAGTCTGGAGGAAGACTGGGGAGAAGGAAATGCCAAAATGCCAGAAGTCCAGTGTGAAGCACCCACAGTCAGTGATGGTCTGGGGTGCCATGTCAGCTGCTGGTGTTGGTCCACTGTGTTTTATCAAGGGCAGGGTCAATGCAGCTAGCTATCAGGAGATTTTGGAGCACTTCATGCTTCCATCTGCTGAAAAACTTTATGGAGATGAAGATTTCATTTTTCAGCACAACCTGGCACCTGCTCACAGTGCCAAAACCACTGGTAAATGGTTTACTGACCATGGTATTACTGTGCTCAACTGGCCTGCCAACTCTCCTGACCTGAACCCCATAGAGAACCTGTGGGATATTGTGAAGAGAAAGTTGAGAGACACAAGACCCAACACTCTGGATGAGCTTAAGGCCGCTATCGAAGCATCCTGGGCCTCCATAACACCTCAGCAGTGCCACAGGCTGATTGCCTCCATGCCACGCCGCATTGAAGCAGTCATTCATGCAAAAGGATTCCCGACCAAGTATTGAGTGCATAACTGAACATGATTATTTGAAGGTTGGCGTTTTTTGTATTAAAAACACTTGTCTTTCATTGGTGGGATGAAAAATGCTAATTTTTTGGGACAGGCATTTTGGGTTTTCATGAGCTGTATGCCATAATCATCAGTATTAAAACAATTAAAGACCTGAAATATTTCAGTTGGTGTGCAATGAATCTGAAATATATGAAAGTTTCATTTTTATCATTACATTATGGAAAATAATGACCTTTATCACAATATGCTAATTTTTTGAGAAGGACCTATATATATATATATATATATATATATATAGTTGGTAGACGGTCTTTCTTTGTTCAGACCGTTGTTAAAAACTGTTCGTGTGCCCTAAATCAAATCTGACCGTTGCCTGAGCTGTTGAATCTGAAAGTATCTCCATCAATCCAGCAAAGTTAAGTCAGGACCTCTGGACGGTTTATTGTTGTTGAAACATTTTGTCTTTCATCCAAAAGACTTCATCAGTCGGAGGAGTTGCAACAAACTCAGTCTTATAAATAGCACCTTCAAATGGTGTGTCAACCAGTTTGATGGTGCTCAGATGGTTCCTGGGGTCCGCCCTCTCCCCCACCGACTTGTTTGAGGCAGCCATGGCCAGAGTGGTTCAAAACATCCTGACTCCTGCTCAATAATCCAGGTAGAAAAATCCAACAAAGTTAATCCGAACAAAAAGAAACCGTTCAGGACCTGACTTAACTTTGTTGGATTGTTCCACCTGGATTATTGCGCATGAATCCGGATATGCCTTGTTGAGATTAAATTTATGACTGAGATGAGTTGCTCAAACCTCTGTTATTATTTTATTGAGTGTTAGTTAAAAATTCCTACCTTCCTGTGCAGAACCCGCTACACTGGAGCCTCCCCAGTAACAAGCATGGTTTGTTATTCTGTCTCAAGTTATTGGAGGTTTCTGTTTGTTTACCACAAAACAACAACAAAAATCTCCCCCCACTCCATAAAATTAGTGTTTTTTTGTACAAGGTTATGAATTAAGTTCTTGTTTGGCAATTACAAACAGATTCAGTTTTTGAGATGTTTGCCAAGTACGTTTGATAAAAAAAGAAAACTTTGTGTCCAGAAGGTTTTTACGTCCTAATTATTTTTTATAGGAGCTGAGGAAGCCCTCCTACGCCGAGATCTGCCAGCGAGTGAAGGACACCCCCACGTTACAGCATTCACCGATCCCCAAGGAAGCCAAGCCAACCTGCGGTGCCGTCACAGCCGAGGACAGGAAGTGCACTGACCCCTCCACCCCTGCGGGGGAGGCCAAGGCCAGAGAGACATACCACTCCTCCTCCAAACCCGGCTCTGTATCTGGCACCCCGGGCAGACCCCTAAAGGAGGCCCGGAGGCCGGCGGGGAGGTGGGCCTCCCCGCCCCCTCACCAAGGGAAAGCCCCTATCAAAGATCCCCACCACACCCCACCCAAGTCCCCGCAGTAGGGTGGCTTCCTGCCCCCCCCGTGAGTCCTCCACCTCCCCCCCACTACGCTCCTGGATGTGTAGAAAAAAGGAAAACGAGTCAGGGCTACTGAACACTCACATCCCAGAACCACCAGTCGGCAACAAAGCAGAGAGGACGCCTTCTTTTCTGGATCAGGGCTTGCAGACAAAAAGCACTTTACTGTGCATGTAGAGCACCGTTTCTGTCTTTGCTTTTGAAGTCTTATTTTACTTTATTTTTAATTTTCTCTCTCCTTCAGTGCAGTCAAAGCGGCACATTCGACACTGAAAGATTTATTTAATTTTTTTTTTCTGCCCAAACGGCCTTGTGGGATTAAACGAGTCTTGTGTGTGAGGCAGCAGGGCATTGTTAGAAGAAACCCCCAAAGGATGATGGGAAAGGGCGCATAGAAACAGACTCCATCTTGTCTGGTTGCCATGACGATGCCTTTGTTCGTGTGCAGAGTGGCACTGTTGTGCAACTTTATGTAGCGTAATTATGGGTCATTACTTCTAGATGTTTTCAGAGATGCACATTTGTGCAGATTGTTTAAACCTTGTCAGAAGGAAACTCTGATGCTCTAGTTTGACGTGGCCTACATTTTTAAAATATAATTTACACTAATTTGTACATTTTTCTTCCACAACGTTCGCTTTGTTTGCAGGCTTTTTTTGACTCTTGGTTCAGTTACAAGTGTCGTCTTTCTCCCTTCATTGTTTCTGTAAAGACTGACCTCCCTGTGCTTGTTTTTAATTATTTTTCCTCTCATTAACATTAACTAACCAAGAATTGATTGTGTGTTAACCAGTGATGTGAGGTCTGCTGTTTTTAGCGACGGACAGGAAAGACCGATGTCTCCAGCTAAATCTTTTCTGAACGCATCAGGAATCGTTTGCTGGATGTGTCAAAAGACTTTTGTCCCTGTTCCAGTTGTGAGGAAACAAAAATGTCCCGGTGTTTTGGTTTGGTTTCTAGAAAGAAACCGAGCAGCAGGGAGATGCAGTGACAGGAAGTGGGATGCAGTGACAGGAAGTGGGATGCAGTGACAGGAAGTGGGATGCAGTGACAGGAAGTGGGATGCAGTGACAGGAAGTGGGAGGCAGTGACAGGAAGTGGGATGCAAGGCAGGTTTGAGGCTGACGTAGCTGCGGTGAGTTGCTTTAAATCACTGGTGGGGAGAAAATGCTGCGAGCAAGAAGTAAGAAACAAACACTAGTTTACCGGCGTCGCTCTCATTCTGGATATTAGCCGAAGCGAAAGAGACTCGTCGAGGAATATAGAAGGATCATGAGCGCACAGTGGCTCTGTGGTTCCAACAGTGCGCCGTTTCCAGTTCTGTCACAGATTTGGTTCATAGATGTGAAACCCTGCGCTCAGTTGCTGCAGCTCATGAAGCGCGTGTGTGGAAGGATTTGGGTTTACAACCACGGGAGAGTTTGATGATCCTGCATGAAGGGGGAACCGAGCCGAAGCCTTTCTTTGTTTCTGCAGAGACCCGTGAACATCGGACACATCCAGCTGCTTCTAGTTTAACGGATCATTATTATTGATAATTCTTTTGTTGTTGTGTTTGAAGCAGTTGGTGCTTGTACAGGAGGGTTAGAGTTTAGTGAGGATTTTTTATTTGTACATTTGATGAATCCAGAAAGTGAAAAAAGTTGAACAGACCTGGAGTACGTAGGTTAAAAATGACCCCATGAAGGTTTGAGAGGGTTTTTGTTGGAATGTAAAAGAAGAGGGAAGAGTTTGAGCATTTCACAAACTAACGTGCACGAGCAGGAGGGACGTCTTCTTCCGTGGCGTCGAGTCTTCACGGCTCGTTTTCCTGTCGGTTCGGTCGGCGACGACTCGTTTGTTCCTCCTGAGCGTGAATCTCTTCCGTACCAGCCGGGACCGATTGACCGGCGCTCACGGCGTTTCTCTTCTCCTCCGTCGTTTCCGGCGACGAAACAAAAAGCACAGAGTTCGAGGACGTGGCGCTCAGATTTAAGCTCACCTGGGAAGCTTCGACTCCAGCGTGAAGACGAAGTGGAAGGACTTGTTCAGTCTGATGGTCCGGTTCATGGATCCGTCGTCTGTAGCAGCCGCTCCGACAGATTTTTACAAGTTTTATTGACGAATTGTTAAACACTAATAACATGTTGGATAAATGAGTTGTGTAGAAAGATTCCTTCCTGCGCTGAGGTGAATCCTCAACAGCTGTCACGAGAAGATGAGACACCCTAAAGAAACCGCTGAACCACTGTACACGCGATGCCCTTCACACCACGGGGACTTCGCTTGTCTCGCTCAAGTCTTCCTGCAACAAAAAGCATTCTGGGTAATCCCACATTTAAAAAGGGAAAACGTCATTTTTTAAGAAAACTCGAATCATCCGGTCAGAGCTGCTTTGATTTGGACGCTAAAGTTTTTTTTTTTTTGAAGGACTGAGATGCACTGGGATGGTTTGATTTATTTTTCTTGGTGGAAATGGTAAAAGATAAAAAAAGCACCATATCTACTTATTTATAAGAGTGCTGTTTATTCAGTCAGGTTTGTTTGTTTGTTTTGAGAAGAAAAAAGTTTCTGTTTAAAAAAAAAAAAAAAAAAAAATCCATCCAGTGTTTGAAAAACTTGAATTTTATTTAAACTTGAAAAATAACTTTGCCTTAACTTTTATACAAGACGAGCTTAGAGTTTTTATTTCTTTTCACAGATTAAAAAAAAACAAACAAACAAAAAAAAAAACAGTTTCCTTAAATGGTTAACGAAGCGAGACGCGGAAAATATTTGGTCTTGTTGAGAGAAAGAGTTCAAATCTGGAAGCGTTTACGTTCCTTTCCCCTCGTTTCTGTTTCGTTCTTTAAGAAGAGAATCCGTTTGTTCTTTGGTTCTCGTTCGTTAGTTTTAGATTCTTCTTTTGTTTTGGAGGGGAAAGCTATAAACCTTGTAAATGCAACTAGTCAATACTGTATTAAATATGTGCACTTTGAAGTATGTGCTTTGCTTGTACAGTTGTAAATACTCAGAAAAATATAAGAGGTACCTTAAAATGATTATAAAAATATATTGATCCTTGTTGACTATAATGTTGCTGGAAGTAGGATATAAAAAAACATGTTGTGCTTTTGGGAATATTTTTCTTTAATTTGCTCGTTTTTTTTTTTTTTAATCATTAGTGCGTAGTTTAATTTCTGCTCTGCAGCGAGAGCAGGTAACGCGTTTTTTCTTGCTCTTTTTGTCTCGCATTCCAGATGTTTGTTTTTTAGTCACCTGAGCGTTCAGGTGCGGCCCCGCCCTCCCCTCACTGTGCACGCCGCACTCTGCGGTACCGACGAGCATCTCCAAATTGCAGCTTTCACCGTTTGTTCTGCAGATTTGTGCGTTTCTTTCATTTCTGCACGAACGCCGAAACCGCTGATGAACCGTTTTCAAGCCGCCCGGCGTCGTTTAAACATCGAAAAGCGTTTTTGGTACGAGACGCGTCTCAGAACCGACTCACCGCTGCAGCGCAACGTTTCCACCCAAACTGGTGGAAGCTCGTTCGGTCGCAGCCGGATTGTTTTAAAGCGGAACAAAACTGAAGTCTGGAGTCTTGTTTCAGACACAACTGCTACAAAAACTGGTTTCGTGTCGGAGCTGAACTGGAAGTGAAGACGGAACCAGTGGCCCCGGTCCTGCAGATGTTCCCAACAAGTTATTATTAAAACTCCCGACTTCTCTTTTTGCTTCATGTGGAAGTTTAAACACAAGATGTGATGAGATTTGTCAAGGAAAACAAAAACCGGAAATTTAAGTCACTTCAAATCTTTATTGTGTAAAAACTGTTGAACCCGAACAGTTTGGGCCACGGTAGGAAAGTTTTAAACTCACTAAAGATGCTTTTCTGTTTCCAGACACTCAGAAATAAAATACAAGTTAAAAAGCAGCTTAATTCTTAAGACAGGTTGTGATTCAGCGTTTGCTACAAACCAGCTCTAAAACCAGATTTGGTTCAAATAAACCTTTATTATTATTTTTTATTGACAGTAACATTTGATGTTTTGACTGTTTTTTCAGAACGATTCTTTGTTGATAAAAGTACAAATTGGCTGTTCTGAAGTCTAAAAATGATCCCAACAATGCGTTTAAAATCCTCTCTCCTATATGGAATTAAAAAAAAGTTACTTGTGAAGGATCTGAACGTTAAAACGATCAAACCCCTAAAATCTTAGTAGCTGACGTGTTGCCAGGTGTTGCTTTCTGGTCAGGTTTGGTGTTTCCAGACGTTTAAATATAAATGAACTAAAATGCAGCTAAATTCTTGACCTTACTGGTCAGTCTGGTTTTTATTCTCCGTGTTTAGGTTGAGCTACAAACGGTTTAGTTTGACTTTTCCACCACTTAGTTTTGGACGTTTTAACTTAGTTTTCAGAACAACGTGGCTCCTAATTAACTAAAAAAAACATTCAGTCAAAACCCCTAAAAAGTAAAATCGCATCTTATTCCGTGGAAGAGAAGCCGAACCCAAAATTGGACCGAGACGTTGTAATTTTCAGGCTGCGAAGCTCGATGCTCGTTGGGCCTCGACTCCGTTTCGTCCCGTTTCGGTGTTCTTCTGACGCGCGATTAAAACCGTGACGTAAACCTGAAGGTGGGAGAGTTCTGCTGAAGAGCCTGAGGAGGTCGTGGATTTGAGGTCCGAGCAGAAACGTCTCCACCTCAGTGTCTGTGCACATCTGCCAAAAACTCACCGATGTTTGGTTTCTCATGATTTGATGTAAAAAAAAAAAAAAAGAAGCAAACGGTTGATTTTCAGGCTTTTCAAAGACACGGGGGCTAAACTGGACTCGCAGCTGAGTTTTGTTGTGTTTGTGGAGTTTTCTGCAACGTTGCTGTTTTATTTTGAAAAACGTGCCATGGTCCAACCTGTGTGTGTGTTCTCGACTGCTCAGTTGAACTTGTGCAGAGGAAACGGAGTGCCCTCCATCTTTTGTGTTTGATTTTCATTGGTGGCACCTGTGAGCGTACGGACACACGTTCTCCTGAGGCCGATCACGCCCCGAGCGTCCTGGGACTAAACGTGTGCACGTGCGGAATAGAAAAATAAAAAGAACCGCCGTGAACTCCGTTCTGGTGCAACAGGAGACGGAACTGGTTCCTCAGAGTGGATGGACTCAGTTGGACGTGTCTTCTGGAGACTTCAGTTTCTGTCCCGGACGTCTTCGTGGAGCGTCCCTTCATATCCACCTGTCCATCTCGTCCGTCCCCCTCCCTGTTGACAGAGACATTTTATTTTATTTTGCATCTTCTAGGATGGAAGCTCCTTTTCCGGTTGACTTCATGGACATCAACTGACTGGAACCTGTTTCTGGGCTCACTGGTCGAACTCGTTAACACTCCTCGTGCTTCGTTAACAGCTGTGGACAATCCATGTCTCCCCGTAGTGTTGGGGTTCGGACACACAACTCTGCCTAACGACACCTTTAACACTCGCGGGACGGAGATCGCAGTCGAACAGGGCTTCTTTTGTTTATATTTTAAAATTTTGGGGTCTTTTTTTTTTTTTTTTCCATTGAGACTGGAATCAAGCGTACATGTCGGCTATAGATAATTTAAGTTACTCCTGTGTCATGATGTAAAACTTGTCTAATTTGGAGAGAAAAATGTAGCTTACTGAAAAATAAAGATTTAGACACTGATGACGTGTCTCGTTCTTGTGAGAAAAGTACAAAATACTTTATTTTCTACTTTTAAATTAACTCAAGTGAATCTTTTCTACTTTATTGTCAAAACTGCAATTTGTACAGGACACGCACAGGATTGAAACGTCATTACTCTGGTGCTACAATAACCATTAAATATTTAATAAACTTTAGCATAAAATAAAAGTATGATGCTATGCTAAATTGTAAGTATAGCTGTATAAATATAAAAAGTATAAAAAGTTTTGTTTTGATTTGGGACTGAAATGACAAAAAAAAATCCAAATTTAAAATCTAATGCTAATGAGATGTTTGTTACAAACCCAGCAGGCGTTTAATTATTATTATTTTTACCATTTGTGTTTTCATATCTGGCGTCCGGCTTGAAAAGGAAATTAAATTTGTAGAAGTTTTCACTTTTTACTTCACTGACAAAGCTCTTCCCCTCAAATCGCTCATATTGGCAACAAATAAACTCCAGCTTAATAAAATGGTTATTCGTCAAAATAAAAGCAGCCCGTGAGCTTTTTAAAGGTAACGACTTGAAACCAACGATAAAGGACAAGAATTCCCATTTCAGGTTGAAACGAGTTCAACAGAGTTGTGAGAAGTTTTGATTTTTAATGTTTAAAACCCAGAAAGCATGTTCTCACATTAACTGTATAAGAAAGATGGATGCGGTCATCATGTCCTCTTTAAGTTCATTTTCAAACCTTAAATTTAAAGTTAACCTTAATATCCTCACTTTTGAGCTGCTGTAGACTCGTACATCTAAAGTAAATTGTACCTCAGGTGATAAAGGTTTATAATCCCCATTCCCTCTTTATGTTGTAATTAAAGTAATTTAATAACGGCACCTTTCAAGATACATGGCTGCATAACTGCAGGTTGTGAACTTTTATTAACTGTATACAAGAGGTTTCACTTGATTTGACCAAATGCCACTTTTTATTTAAATAGATTTAGAAAACTTTAATTTTTGATCCTCTTTTTGCTCAATTTGTGGTTTTGTCTTTTGAACCACACAGATAAAACGGCCACTGTAGAAACTTTCACAGCAAAATTTGAGATTTTTTTTTATTTAAAACGTCTGAAAAAAAGGATGACAGAAAGATGACGTGAGTGAGATCACAAGGGAAACTAGTTTTTATTTGGTTTTGTAACGATGGCTTTCAAATGCAAATACAACTAAAATAAATTAGACTAAAAACAGCATCTAAATGGTTGTACATTTTCAACAAGTCTTGTCAAGTGAAACATTTTCTTTCACAAATTGAACATTTCAGTGATGTCCACCAGGTGGCAGCACACACACACATATCTATCTATCTATCTATCTATCTATCTATCTATCTATCTATCTATCTAT